ATCTCCTTCTCTTTTCTGCTCTGGTACACTTAATTTCTCTATTATCCAAATGGGAAAAAAATGAGAATTTTGGCGCGTCTAAATAGTCCAGGACATGATTATATCCTTGGAAAAGTGACATGATCTTAACGTTCCTTTAGTGTAAATTGTATAAGAGAAATTTTAGGGAAAGATCAAGTCTCCCTGTATTTTGCATCTCATTCTTTTCTCTTCTTTCTTTCTTTTCTTTTTATTTATTTATTTATTTATTTAAGATAGGCAATACATTCTGCATCCTATTCGTGTAGAGTGAATCTGTTTTTCTGTGATTAGGGTCAGAGTGTTCGGTAACATTTCTCAACATTGTGCTGTCGTGGCCATTTGCGCATACCGCTAATTGTGGGGGTTAATGAATGCCAAATGAAATTAACCCTATTTTTAAAAAAAATGAAGTTATAAATTTAAGTTTTGTAAATAAAAAAATAAAAATTAAAAGAATTTTTTTAAAGGTGTTTAATGTAGTATATCTCTACATTAATTAAAATCTAATAGCATACTGAGAGTTTAATAAAAAAGTGAAAGTCAAATAACTTGTGGGGATTAATTTTTCATTTTCTTTATTATTATTATTATTATTATAGTAGATATTTTATTGTCCATATAAATTCGTGTTTTCCGAATTTTAAGTGTTTAATTTAAATGCTCTTTGTTTAATTTAAATCCGGGTTAAAGACATCCCGTTTTAGAAAGACACAAGGCTGGAACAAGTTATACTTTAAGATTATTTTTTGTTTTTTAATTTTATGTTACACAATGTATAACTGCTTTTTATACTTTTACTCAATACGGTTGCCTAATATCTGAATTTAAAATTTTTTATTTTTATAAAAAAATATTATTACAAAATTATTAAGTAGGTAACGACTCATTTAATAAGTATATACTTTAATACTTGTCAAATGATTTTGAGACAAAAAAAAAAAAAAAAGCGAGGCCAAATTGAGGTTGAAATTTTTTTAAATATTAATTAGAGATGTATGTTTTTCAAGTCAAATTATATAATAAAACAGTAATTTAATAAAATATTATCAATAAAATTACTCTACAAGAATTATTAAAAATATTTTAATAAATTTATAAATTAAACTATATTTTCATTATGTAATCTAACTTCAAATATATATATATATATATATATGTGTGTGTGTGTGTTTTGTATTGATTATATGTGAGACCTTTTACTTTATTAGAAATTAAATGACTAGCCTCTGGCTTCGCAGGGTTGCGGGAAGCCTCTTCTCAATTCGCAACATGAGGAGTGCTAGGGGCACTCGCCTTCTTCACTCTCCGGCCGACACTTTCACTTTTATTGAGCCACGTTATTCTGGTGGGTAGGAGGTTGCGCTCAAAGCCTGAAATAAGCTTACGTGGCCCAATGAAAAGGGAAGTGCTTGCCGGAGAGTGCAAGAGGCGAGTGCTCCTAGCACTACTCTTCGCAACATTAACTTAAGCCATCAAAACAAAGAAACCACCCTAATTAAAAAAAAGGGTTTGTCTAAGGTGCATAGTAATTATGGCACAAGTTAAAAACATATTAAATATATATTTTTATCATAAATTTATATTAAAAAAATAAGACTCAATCTTTAATTTATCTATTATTTAATTAAATTTATCTAATACTAAAATTAATACAATTTTTTATATTTTTTTATGTATATTTATGATGAAAAGATATATTTAATACACTTTAAGAATACATGTTAGAAAAATCCTAAAAAAATGTTAAATGTTAATTTTGGTTCATCAAACTTTAAGATTTTATAGAATTTCATCTTTCAACTCTTTTATGCACTTTTTTAGTCCGTTAATTATCAAAAATGAACTTTTTAATACTTACATCAGTTAGTCCGTTAAATCTATTTGAATTTGTACATTTTTAGTAGCTCAACTTTTAATATTTGCACATTTTTCATCCTTCAACTTTAAGTTAATGGACAAAAAATATATATATTTAGATAATATATTAACTAAGGGAAAGACTAAAAAAATGTATAAAAAAGTTAAAGATGAAAATTATGTAAAAATTTAAAGTTGAGGGACCAAATTTGATATTTAACCTAAAAATCATGAAAATGAAATTAAAAAAAAGAAGAAGAAATTTTATATTAAATACTTTTGGCCATAAATTTGGGTTACTTTTTTTTTTTTTTGGAAAGGCTAATCTAAAAACTCACATTGCAATTAATATTTTTTAAAATTAACTATTAAATTAAAAATATCTATTTATATAAATTATACTTGTTAATTATTATATGAATATAATATTTGTAATCCTTCGATAAAAAATTTATTTTTATCAATATATATTTAATGGTATTAAATTAGTTAGGTGCACTAGATCAATGTAAAAATAAACATGTATAATTTATATGAAAATATAAATTTTTAAAAAAATTTAGAATGATGACTTATAAAATATTTTTCTATTAAATATTAAGAGTTTTTTTTTTTTTTAGTCTAGATGGAGTTTAAAAGTGTAAGTTGAACACTAATTAAAATTATTAAATTGTTATTAATAAATGAATATAAAAAAGAATTTTGTTAAGTTATTTGAATAATTTTAGTGTCTAAACTACATTTTTAAAGTGTAGTTCAATTTAAAAAACACTTTTTTCATTATAAATTTTATGATTAAACATACTCCTTCTATCCTATTTTAGTTGTCTTATTTTTTGATGGTATACATACCTAGAAAATTCAGGAACTAGTTAAAATAACAATTAGATATTAAAATAACACATTTACCCCTAATAAAAAGTTTTATTATCTTTATAAATATTTTAGAATAATAGGAATAAATTTGAAATATTAATAGAACTAATATCTTACATAAATAAAAAGTAAAACGATTAAATTAGAATAACTAAATTTATGTTACATTTAGTATAGTTGTAATTTTTTATTTTTAGTTTGGTGTTTATACATTTTATGACTATTAAAAATCAAAATAAAAAATAAAAAAATTAATAATTTGTTGAAAATGACTTTTAATACTAATAATAAAAATTATAAATTAATATTTATGTAAAAATATTAAAATTATTTTTATTTTTATTTTTAATAATTATAATGATATATTACAAAAACATATATAAATGAGATTAGACAATTTTTTTTTCAAATTTATAAAAATTAGAACTAAAAACCACGGTCCAACCCAACGGAGCCCTAATAAACAAGGCAATAAATTTCTTTAGAAAATTCATTTAAGCTTTTATTATTATTATTATTTTTTCTGATGGGACTCTTTATTTTTATTAAAATAAAAAGACCAACCAAAGAAAGACATTGAGTTGTGTGAGGTTGACAGTACATTGAGGCCCCACAACTTTGTCGTTCATAGACTTTTTTTTGTTTGTATTATTATATAGTAATATTTCAATTATAATATAATAAAAGATTATAAAATTATAATTTTATATAATATTATAAAAAATTTTAAATAAAAAATTAATTATATAATTACATATTATGTTATAAAATTATAAAATTATATAATATTATAATTATTATATTTTCTATTATTATATTATAAATAAAAATATTTTTTAAATATATCAAAATAACATAAATGTGTTTTTAAAATTATTTTAAATTAAATTAATATCAACGTGTGCACACTCGGGCCTCACGGCCCAACGACCATAAGCCGACTTAAAGGGGCATCCCCAACTCGAGAGCTAGGTTCAATTTTCCCCAGCCCCATATTTGTAACCCTGTTCGAAAAAAAAAAAGAAATTAATATCAACGTGAGCAAAAACAGACAAAAGCCTATATTTAACATTTTATCTTATTAAATTTATAAATTTTAATTTCTCACCTTATATTATGATAGTTTTAATTTTTTACTTATCAAAATTAAAGAAAATAACCCTCATTTATAACATTTTATTAGTTCTGTTAACTAATTATTAATTCTATTAGTTGATTATTAATTAATAAAAACTTATTTTTAACTAATAGAGTTAATAATTAATTAACAGAATAGTTCTGTTAACTGATTGTTAATTTTATTAGTTAACTGTTAATTAATTGTTAATTAATAAAAATTTATTTTCAACTAATAAAATTAAGAAGTAATTAATAAAATAATACAATATTATAAAATGATGATTATTTTTTTAATTTTAATAAATTAAAAATATCATAATATAAAATAAAAAATTGAAATTTATAAACCTAATCAGATAAAGCAATAAAATTAGGTTTATGCTGCAGAGAGAACACTTCGATCAAAACTAAGAAATAAAATTACAGGAAAACTGGCCAATAGAATAAAGTGATAGCCAAAAATTAAAAAACAAGTGCAGCTGGTGACTGCAGGCTGCAGCAATCTCTAACCGTCCCCTTTTCTTTCCACAGAAAAAATGGCCTTAGAAGCATGCCTGGCGCCCCCACATGAACATATACAGTAAACATATAGAAACAAAATTTGCACTCTTTTTCATTATTTTTTCCTTTTTGTCCGAGTAGTATTTTGAAAATTTTTAATATAGATATTAATTGGTATATTTTTTCATTTAAAATTAAATATAAATAAATTGAAAAATATAAAAAATAATATTTATTCATCTTACTTTTAAATATTAAAAAGAATATTATTTCAAAATTAAATTATTTTAATAAATATTTATTAAAAAAATTAAAATATCTTATTTTTAAAATATAAATTAAGATATTTTTTTAAATGTTTTTTTTCTTATTTTTTTGAAAGTAAAAAACAAACACTAAGTCCAAAATATATACAAATTAATTATATTAATTATATTTATGTTATATTTTAATTATTTAATTAAATAAAAATAAAAATATATTAAATTAAAAAATATACTCATCATTCTTCTTTTAATTTATAATCACTTAAATCTCACGACGCAACGATTATAAGTAAGTTTATAAGGTGCATCCTGCAGCCCTCGAGTTCGATTTCCTCACTCTCAAAATTGTAACCCTATTCGAAAAAAAAAAAAAAATCTATAGATATAGGTAAGCTGCTTCTCGCCGTCTCAATCCAAACTAATTTTCCTGTTTCTGTCTCGCTCCTTAGCTTTCTCTCATCCTCTATCTGCGCAAGGATGGAGGAAGCTAAGCAGCCACTTCTCTCCCCTACTCAAGACGAAATCAGAATCCAAGACGACCTCGCCAGATCAACCAATCCCACCTCAACCACCGTCGTCTTCACCACTGGCACCGAGGACATCCCTCCCATCTTGGGCGTCCGAGATTTCTTCAGAGAATCCTACAAAGAAGCCAAGAAGCTCTGGTACCTTGCTGGCCCTGCCATCTTCACCTCCGTCTGCCAATACTCTCTCGGTGCCATCACTCAAGTCTTCGCCGGTCAGGTCAGCACTCTCGCCCTTGCAGCTGTCTCCGTCGAAAACTCCGTCATCGCCGGTTTCTCCTTCGGCATCATGGTATGTGTATATTTCCAAATACCAAGTCATCTAATTAATCATTTTACAATAGTAAAAGTAAATATAGTCGTTAAAATGTGCTTAGATTGGAATCTTGTCTCGTCCACTGTAATTTATATTTGGATTGAAATTATTTAATTTTTCCTAGTAATAAATTGATTGTACCTTAATTTAGATTGCAAAACGGCCAATCATAAAATGATCAAAATTTCATATCACCTTAATATTAACGTTTTACGGTGCGATACAGTGGAACAATTTTCTTGGGTGTAAATTTGGACTCTAATATATGGTGATTAATTTGTTAGCTCGGAATGGGGAGCGCCCTGGAAACGCTATGCGGGCAGGCGGTCGGCGTCGGCCAACTGGATATGCTCGGAGTATACATGCAACGATCGTGGATCATCCTGAATTCGACCGCCATACTTCTCACTTTCATATACATGTTCGCGGCGCCGCTTTTGAAATTAATCGGCCAGACAGAGAGCATATCGAGAGCAGCCGGAACTTTTGCGGTATGGATGATCCCGCAACTTTTCGCCTACGCCATTAATTTCCCTATTGCGAAGTTTCTGCAGGCGCAGAGCAAGATCATGGTTATGGCAATAATAGCGGCGGTGGTTCTGGTTCTTCACACATTTTTCAGCTGGTTGTTGATGCTGAAGCTGGGTTGGGGACTGGTGGGTGCCGCCGTCGTGTTAAATGCATCCTGGTGGTTCATTGACGTGACTCAGTTTGCTTACATCCTCAGCGGGACTTGCGGACGGGCATGGGCCGGGTTTTCTTTGAAGGCCTTCCAGAACCTGTGGGGCTTCGTGAGGTTATCTCTTGCGTCAGCCGTAATGCTCTGGTTGGTATTGACTACCGTGTTAGATTTGTTTTTGTTTTTTTCAAAAAAAAAAAAAACAGTTTATAATTTGAGAAATAAAAAAAAGAGGATTTTTTAAAGTGTTGATAAAACTTGAAATCTAAACAATTAAGCCAAATATTTTAAGATTTACAACCAAACCACTTCAACTCAAAAATCCGACACAGATTTGTTTTTGTTTTAAGTCACTACTGTTGAGTTATATTAATGTCTACCACTAGTAGCAGTACTGTTTGCCTTATTTGACTCGTGTGTCAGATAAAGTCATAAGATTAGGACCACATTCATAATGTTAAAGTTATAAAAAATTATAAAAAATTATTTTTAAAATATTAATTTAATTTAATTTAATTATTAAAAATAATCATTAATTATAATTGTTAATTAAAATTACATAAAATAATTAATATTTTATTAATTAAGAAATTAAAATAATTAATAAATTAATATTTTTAGATATTATTTAAGAAAAAATTAAAAAATTAATTGGCTTAACGTCGTGATTCATGAGTGGCAACAATATAACGGCATCTGCTTTTTGTGAAAGAGTATCAATTTTCTCTTTTAAATTTATCTTTTACTTTCGTTGATTGGTTTTATAAGGGTAAGGATATACAAGTAATTTTTTAATAATTTTTTTACAATATTAATGTTATTAAATGAATAAATATGTAATATATTATTAATTTAAATAAAATGTAAAAAAATAAATAATTAAATAAAATAAAATAATGTATTAAAAAATTGCCTCACTTTCCAATTTATAATATAATGAACAGAGTTGATGTGGAGCCGTGATAACATTATAGTACCAGATAGAAATTAAGCAGGATTGTCTGACCATGTCTTAATGAAGTTGCCATATATTTATGATGAATATTTAATAATTTTGCTTTGTGTGGCGGTGGTGTGCAGCCTGGAGATTTGGTATTTTATGGCACTTATTCTCATTGCCGGTTATCTAAAGAATGCAGAAGTCTCAGTGGATGCCTTGTCGATTTGGTGAGCTATTTTTTCTTCAAATATCATAATATCATATTCATGTGTTTTCTTCTGTGTAATATATATATATTTTTTGATTGCATAATAAAAAATAATTATTTCTTATTTTTTATCTCACTTCACTGTAAGTTATGCGACTTAAATTTAAAATTTTTTATTTTCAATAAAAAAAAATTACTGAATTATTTAAGTTGTTATTATGAAATATGAAATTAAACTAAAAATGACAAATAAACATTGGGTAGGTTGACCAGAAGTGCATTAATTAAAGATGATAAGCCCGTGCTGTGTCTTCATATCCACACCAAACTTTTTCTAATTAAATCAATAGCCATATTCGTACCTGCATTCTCCTGATATGATTTATTGATAATCACTGTAGTCTAACAGGGCTGTCGTGAATTGTACCCTGACCAGTAATCAAATTTTGTTATGAGCAGGTACTAATCTAGTTTCTAACTTCTAATTTATAAATATTTCTCTTGTCAAAAAAAAAAAGAAAACAATCATATTTGTACCTTAATCATTCAAAGAGAAGTGAAAAGAAGATTATTGTGAGACCCTAATTAATGAGGAGGATTGTGATTGGATTTGGTGGAATGTGTCTATCAATATTTATCAAGTAATTAAACATAGCATAATAATCTATATATTTTTAATTCAACACATTTTATTATATATTTATTTAAAAATTATTTTTTTAAAAATTTAAATTATGGTAGAAAATTTTTAAATACAAATTTGAATAATTAAATTGATAAATATTAATGATTGTGTTGAATTAAATAATATATCAATAATTTTCTATACTATAACGTGAATATTGTGAGATTTTATTTTAAAATAAAATTGGGGTAAATAAGCTCCGAAGTAAAATTGGATCAGTGGTTGAATTTTCATTTCTTGGGTTCTTTATTAATTCTTAGAACTGAAACGCAATTAGAAAAGAATTCCCTTCTATCACATTTTGCTTATGTTCAATTTTGCAGTATGAACATACTGGGGTGGACGGTCATGGTGGCTCTGGGAATGAATGCAGCAATAAGGTATGTCCTAACATGAACACATAGTAAGCAATAGGAAATGGAAAGATTATGACAAACCATTTGAATCTCATTTTAGCCCAACAAAATGTGCAGTGTTAGAGTGTCAAATGAATTGGGAGCAGCGCATCCAAGAACAGCTATACTCTCATTGGTGATGGCTGTGATTTCTTCATTTATGATTGGTGTCGTTATTGCACTTATTCTCATCATCTTCCGGGACGACTATCCGCAGTTGTTTTCAAACGACACAGATGTTCAAGATCTCGTTAAGGACCTCACACCATTGTTGGCTCTTTGCATTGTCATTAACAATGTTCAACCTGTTCTCTCAGGTAATCGGGGATGCAAAATTTTCACCTAATTTCGATTTGAGGAATATCCAGTTGTAATTTTTCATTTTCCATGATACAGGGGTTGCTGTTGGAGCTGGATGGCAAACTGTTGTTGCATTTGTGAACATTGGGTGTTACTATGTCTTTGGAGTTCCTCTGGGTCTCATATTAGGTTTCAAGCTTGGCTTGGGCGTCAAGGTACCTCCATTTCCTTCATTTACTTTGTTCAGAAAAGCTTGAAATAATCTCGGTTTTCTTAGTTGATTAGTAGCATAATTACATCATTTGATAAAATTTCAGGGAATTTGGTCTGGTATGCTCTTAGGCACAGTCTTGCAGACTATTATCTTGTTTATCATGGTTTATAGAACAAACTGGCACAAAGAGGTATGTCCAAAAATTCTCCACCCATGAGTACTTATGACAAGGATATGAATACTAATCCAAGATCTAACTGATAATTTGATACGACAAATGCAGGCTTCTATTGCTGAGGACAGGATTAAGAAATGGGGAGGTGGACATGGCGGTTTCATAGAGAACAATGAAGAAAACACTGTCGAAGACAGAAACTTAAATTTAGAAAGAAACAAGTAAAATTTTGGCGGAATTTGAGTAGAAAATGTGAAGAGGTGCCGATCTTATCTTTCATATGTACTAGCCTACTTTTTTCGTATTTTTTTTTATATTAATTATATAATGAGAGATAATTTATTTTTATTTTTTATTTTATTTTTAATAAAATAATTATTATTAAATTATTTAGATAGTTAATATTTTCTTTGTAATTTTGATATCAAAAGCTTAGTATTACAATGAATCCTTTTTTGTTTTCTTTTTTTCCTTGAGGAAAAAAGAAAAGTTTTTTTGACAAAGGTTAATGTTGTTTTTAGTTTTTTTTCTTTTTTAAAAGTGTAGGAATGCTTCTTGGTTTTGAATTCTTATGGTTGAATATTCCACATATATTTAAAGCTTAGGGAATAATGAAGCTAGTTTCATGCCAAATTTTCCTATAGAATTAAAATGACCAAACACTGTTAGTCGTCGAAAGGATGGTTTGACCAAACGGCACCAATCAAACACATCGAAGCGACATTTTTATGGAAAGGTTTTCTAAGTCTTCCAACTTGGTTGTTTCGTCATGGCTGATGTAACAAGAAATAGATGATTACAAGAATACAGTTGTCATCTTAGCACTCTATTTGATTATACAATAATTTTTTTAAAAATTTTAATTGGATAATAAAAAATAATTTTTTATTTTTAATTTTATTTTATTTGAACATCATTTAAATTTAAAATTTTTTATTTTTAATAAAAAAATTATTTTTAAATTATTTAAACTATTAACAAATAAAAATTATTAAATAATAAATCATTTTTAATATTAAAAAATCAATTATCATTTAATGATAAATATTTTATAATATAATCTAAGTTAAATTACATAATATATTTTTCAATAATTTTTAACAAAAATATCAATAATTCATATAATTTAATAATAATTTTTTATTAAAAATAAAAAATGTTAAATTTAAATAATATAATATATAAATAAAGTGATAAGAAAATGAGAAAAAATTTAATTTCAATGGTGTAATTTAAAATTTAAAAAAATTAACAGAAATACTCACTGCATTACACAGATAAACTCCCAATGGAAGGCCGGCACGACCGCCAGTTTGCTTTTCTTTCTCTGAGGCTCTGTGCAAATGGTACGTCGAACAATGATAGTACACTGACATGAATTTAAAATTTGATAGATGTATTTTTTGTAATTGCAACAAACCATATGATTTCCTTCGGTCTAAGTCTTCTCTTTGAGATTACTTGTCAAATCTCGAGGTGAATCTTCAAAATAAATATTTTGATATTTAAGTTAGTAATAGTTTGATTTATTTTTAAAAATTGTAAAAAAAAATTTTAATTGATTTTAATTACTTTTTTAAGTGATTCTGAAAATATTTATAGATTCTAATAATAATTCACATGATTTGTTTAATAATATAATCGAAATTTGACATGTCCATTTAAGTGATTATCTCGGAGACAAAAAATCAGGTACAAATATGTCTGCTATACCTACCATGCTACTACACGATCGAGAAGAGCTAAATTTTTAGGTTACTTCGATCATTAATAAAATATGTCAGTATGTCTGAGGTCTTTGATCTCGAATCTATCCTTACCATTTTTAAATTGAAATACTTCAAGGCCTGACGGTTGAGATTAACTGATGGGCCCACATTTTCTTGGGAAGCACTACGCTATCCAAATTGGACTTAGTCCCAATTTATGTTTAGGATCAACCGAGCCTAAATGCAGCTGAGTAAGCGTCTTCCATGTTTTTTCAATGGTCAAAGTTTAATTCAGTTGTAATTGGGGAGGTTTTGATTCAAATGTGAAAATTAATGCTTAGTTTAGAGTGTTATGTTGTGCTGTTATTACAGTTTTTTTTTTTTTTTTGGGTTTTTTTATTTAAGAAATATATAAAATATTATTTAACATTATTAAAAATATATAAAACATTCCCCCTTTTCTCTTCCTTCTCTC